ACACACACACACACACACACACACACACACACACACACACACACACACACACACACACACACACACACACACACACACACACACTCACTCACACATGACAAATGCAATGATGTACAATAGGACCGACGCACGTACGTAGATCATCCAGGCGTAGTAGCGCTGCCTGAGGTTGTGCAGAATCGAGGCATCATGAAGGTGCGTCAGATTTGCCATGTCCTCACTCTTCTCAAACTTCGGCGGATTCATTTGACTGATCTTGTCTTTTTTAATTTCCATTTCCTACATCAGAACAAGAAGAAAAAGAAGAAGAATAAGCTCAAAATAAAGTGTAATAGATGTATGAATTCTTCGTGAATTTGCCGCGTTTATTTGTATTTCGTCGACCGGGCTGTCGCGTTCTCTATCTTTCGCCCCATTCCCTTCATCATCCGGCCCAGCCTGCGTTCGCGTCTACAAACGCTAGATTCTATTTCACCGGCTTCCTCTTCGTAGCGTCATCCTCCTCCTTCGAACGACGAACGACTTACCTCTCCTTTAACTGTGATGGTGACATTGTCGCCCTTCTTCTCTACGAGATAGCCGATAATGTAACCTTCCTTCTTGTCCGGCACCCACCACATCTTCTTCGCGTCGAACGATATGGCTTCTTGCTCCCGTACCATCTTTTCGTCTGGCTTCAGGAACTGCCATGGATCTTGCAGCAGCAGCTCCTTCGTGCCGTAAGGCAGCGATAGCGCGCGCGTAAGCATCGTTGTCGATGGTCGTTCTTTCTTCTTCCTTTGCGGTCGTCGCCTCTCGTCGGCGCTCCGAGCAACAGCAGCAGCAGCAGCAACAGCAGCAACCTTCAACTCGCTACACGTAAAAGAAAAGGTGACACGAAGCGTATGGTTAAGCGACGAGTATACGACTACGGTATTTTTTAGGTTTTTAGAAAAAACGCACCGGCCGTGTCGCGCAAACGCAACGCAACGCAACGCAACGCAACGCAATGCAACGCAATGCAACGCAACGCAACGTCGCCACGCAGCAGCACGCAGACGCACGTCAAGGGCAAACGCACAGCGAGGTACTGAAACGAATGGAAAAGGATCGGGTCGTGGCTGACCCGTCTACGCACAGCAGCTGGGAGCTCAATTGCGACGACTTGAAAGCCGCGGATTTCACTCGATCCGTTATTTTCAAGCTTCGTCAACACTCCTAGCTACTGATGCCACACACATGGTAACAAACCGACACAGCTAGCAGGCATGCCGTCTCGGTCTAAAAATAAACGCAATAATGCTTCGTCCCGTGAGGGTCTTCCTTAGGGCATATAATCCATATAAGGGCACTTCATCGCGCGCACACCCGTAACAGGCAGACGTGCAACACTCCGCCTCTCTCGCTCATCAACCGCTATCTCAGATATCTGCCGGTGCTCCGCGCTCTATCGCTCGTCGACACTATCCACTAGCTGGGCTCGCGCGTAGAGCTTCCTTCCTTCCTTCAATCCTTCCTATCCTCACTCACCCAGCCGGTCGTCGTCGCACGCCAAGTCTTCTCAGCTTCGTCTGCTCGCGTGCCGTGGGCTCGCGTCTCGTATTTATACCAGCGTTCGGCCGGCGACCGTGTATGCGGCAAGCGGACCGCCGGGCGGCGTGCGACGGGGGGCGGCACCGCTGTCCGCTATTGGGCGCGTCTCCAACCTGGCCCGTGTCACTCAGCGTAACCAGTCTTCGGCGCACCACCGCGCGCGATGCTGGCAAAGCATATCTGAAAGAAAGAGAGAGGGAGGAAGAGAGCGAACGAACGAGAGAGAGAGAGAGGGGGGAGAAAGAGGGCGAGAAAGTGCGCTGTCGCAGCAGTACCATTGCGCCGCGGGTATTTTTTTCGTGTACGCGCCTGTGTTTTGCGCAGTAATCCGTAGTAAGGGGAAATTCCGCATAAAGACTGCCTGATTAAGCGATGTTGATCTACGAAAGACGCGACGAGCGCAGAGCTCTTTACCTTTCCTCACTTACGTGCCGAAGCTCGATTACCAACACTTCTGCCAGTACGCATAAGCATATATATATATATATATATATATATATATATGATAACATACTGCCGACTGCTGGGCCTCGAGATTTATAGTTTAGAATATAGAACGTATCGCAGAGGTTTTATATCGCATTTTTTTGACCGCCGGTTGTCCATCTCTTTCTCTATCTCTCGATATATATCTATCTCTATCTCTAACTCTATATTTATCTCTATCTTTATCTCTATCTCTATCTCAAACTCTATCTTTATCTCTATCTCTGCTCTATACCTATCTCTATCTCTATCCCTATCACTATTCTCTCTTTCGCTCTCGTTCTATCGTTTGCTGCCCTCCTCTCTCGCTCTCGCTCTCTATCCCCTATTCCTGTCGCAACGCGTGTAGTCGACACTATACGCTATCAAAAAGACAAACTCTAAGCGGACGCGGAAGCCTTACGTGCACCTTTGCCGCACCTTTTCCCAACTTAATCTTAATCTTTAATGATTAATGATTAATGATTGATAATCCTAACCCTAACCCTAACCCTAACCTAACCTATAACATAACCCTAACCATTAACCCCTCCTAATCACTCCTAATGGAGTATCACCCATTAAACGTGCCAACCGACTTTCTCGTCGGCGATACTAACTGGTGAGTACAGTAGTCGGCATAAACACGTTTTCCGTCGCCGTCAACCTTTAATCTAAAACCGACAACGCCCATCGGGCACACGAGCCCGCACGCACAGTGCTTCCTGACTTGTCGTCACACGTACATGCCTATATACACGTATAGGAGTCGGTGTCGACGTTTATTATATATATACCATCTGCTGCTATACTGCGAGCGGCAGGAATCTATAGTTAATCCGCTGATCGAACAAGACACTGTCGCGAGTCGCGATGACAGGCGAGCCATATATAAATAGAACAATTAAAAGCGCCCCGTAAGCTCATCGAGCGGATGCGGAGTCATTGCGAGGATGGGTTTAGAAATTGATTAGACATAAAGATAGACATAGAGATAGAGATAAATATAGAGTTAGAGGTAGAGATAGAGATAGAGATAAATATAGAGATGGAGATAGATAGATAGAGAGATAGAGAGAGAGAGGGAGAGAGAGAGAGTGAGAGTGAGAGAGAGAGAGAGCGCG